GCAAACATGGAGCCATTTCCTTTTATCGAATCAGGCTTCATATACCGTTGCTCGATGATGGTGAACACAGATGCCACGTTCCACTTGCATTAATCACTTTGTTCCCTTACATTTTAAACCATTTTTGTGTGACCGGAAGAAAAGGGGGGGGGGGGGGCAGAAATAGGTGTGATCATGTTGTACGTCGGAAATAGAGTATTTCGGTGCCTGCAGGACATACCTTGGTTTGGAGGTAGACTCCCGATCAGCGTTCGTCTGCCTCCTTACCTAACCCCTTCTTCATAAGTAGAAAATGAGTTGTCGGTGCCGGAGAGAAGCGGCAGGTAGTGCGTGAGTGATGTGAAAGAGCAGTATGTCGGTTGAGCGCAATGGCGGTGTTTGTGTAAGCATGGAGAAGACTCATCGGTTCACCCGTTCGCGGCAGATCCTGGCCAGTCTCCGCAGGGCGTTCGCAACAACTTCCTCAGCCTCACCAACGTCCCCACGTAATTGGAGGTACGCTTCGCGCCTCGCCGCCATCTCGCGGAACTTCCGGCTCCACGTCAGGTGCACTGATGTGATAATATTCACGTACTGCCCCAAGAGGCCCTAGTTTGCCTAAAGACTTCTGGTTGTCACGTTGCCATACTGTAAGCTCTCTGGTAACCAACTAATTAACATATTTAACACTCACAATCTAAAAACATTTATTACGATCCGCAAGATGGAAATCACACGCTGAAAGTAACACCAATTAAAATATTTTCAGACTTTTCGTTGCGAAACCCGGTGAATGGTACCAAGGCGAATATTTCTGGAGGAAAAGATGCAAGATCAGAAATATTCTCTTTGTAGTTCGCAATGGATGTACATGTGTGCGTTCCTTGAGTAGTCTGTTCCCGTACAACACCGCTGATATGCTGAGTGAGTGTTGTCATTTAGTCTTAAATTGATATGCCATTTCTGAAGAATATAGTCCTGTACATGGACGCGCTATTCCTGGAAGAAAAATATCGAATATCGGAATTGTAGACATTTAATCAAGCTATAAACACCTTAAAAACAAATTTAAGAGGTTTTTTTTACTCGGCTATACAGATTCGAGAAACAAAATATATGTAATCGGCCCCAAAAGTGTTCCAAATATAGATTTTTATGGTTTGACTGTTGGAAAACAAAAAAGTGTTCGTTTTTTACCCACGAGTCTTGCAATGGATCGGTGTTGTGTGGTGTGTGTGTGTGTGTGTCACGCATAAATTAAACAAATTCGAAAGCTAATGAGCTCTATCTTAGCTACGCACGTTATAAATTACGGTTTTTGGTGCCATTCCAATATGTTTATGGTAGGTGTAAATGGTGAAGAAGATTATAGATTTGGACAAAAGTATATCCACTGCGGAAAATCATAACAAATTGCTACTGCAATCCTAAAAGAGAATCGTTCCCATATAATAAAAAGACGTTTTGCCAGGTCCCCCTTTCCTCGCGTCATCATAACACACATACCTGGTCCGTATGTCTTACATGGAAACAGGAAATAAATACTATTCTTCTCAATTCAATATGGCAAGTCTTGTGATCCTTCGGTTTTATCTCCTCTCAATGATTAGATACAATGACAAAGTTCACCCAGAACTTGAATATTTGAAAAATAAAAAAAGTCCATCGCGTCAAATTATTAAAAAAAATATTAAATTATTTTTTATAAAGTCCATCGCGTCAGATTTTTATCACTCAGCGTTTTTTAATAAATCATATTGCAATTGTTTTGATCGTAGATTGCAAATGTTTGACCTACGAGATAAAATTGTTTGTTATTGACAAATTTCCAATTTGTTTGTATTGATTAAATGATATAATATGAGTCTTCGGTGTTACTTTGGGGCATGTCTCAGAAAGAGTTCTGTGTCTTTTAAATATGAGGGCTAATTCCTCAAACACAAAAATCCGGAAAATAACAAATATTGAGAGAAGAAATGTGGATTAATTTAACTTGTCTTTATGTTACTTGCATTACCAGATTAGATAACTACTTGAAGATTTGGATGTATTCACTACTTGCTCATACTAATCAATAATAAAAATAATTTTGGAAATTCGCACTTTTCCTTCTGAGGTAGGTGATTTTATTGGAAACTTTCCTCACAAAAACATTAACAAAAATAAGCTTCCACGGAAGAACAAATAATACAATAATGTTTTACTTACGCAAATTGTAATCCATGACACTGTATTGTAATATACGACTTTTATCATGAGCTCATTTGATTACCCTTGAAGTCGATAGTAACGTCAAATTATTTCTTATTAGATACATCGAAAACAAACTTTCTAGCCTTGAAAAGACAAGTGACTATACCATTGGGAAATCGGCTCGCATTCATCATCATTTGTTTACAAAAGATTACAAGCGTCTTTTCAGATTTCTAACGTTCTACAAATATTAAGCCTTTTCCGTATCTTATCTTACACTTGGAAAATCTGTATCTTGGCGCTTCGACCGATAGAGAAGAATCTCTGCGTGTAATATCATAGTTATGTCGTAATTGCATAATACGTTCTGCATTATATACATTTAGAGTTGTTAAGAATTACAGCGTTCAGGAGTAAATAATGGCATGTGATATTTGGGGATGATTTCGATATTAGCCCTTATGGGGGATGTTTATGGGGGCTAATATCGAGTTCCTCCCAAATGTCAGTTCCAGTCCTTTACCCCGAAACGCCTCAATTGCCATGCAAGGCAAGTGTGGGCTGCCAGTGGCTGCAGCTGCTCTGCAAGCGCCTCTTGCAGCGTGTGCTGGCGTGTTGCAGGTCACGGCGGTCGTCGGGGGCGACGGGGGCGGCCACGCCGCAAGCCCGCAGCCTGGCGCCTGGCGGTGAGTGCTCGCCCAGCCTGGCCACACTCGGCTTCCACCTCGCTTCTCTGTGACGGTGGACATTTCTACGGGATGTCCGTTTTCTCAGTGCCGGAGTTCGAATCCCGGTCCTTCCATGTGATGTTTTTTGGGAGACAAAGCGGGTTCTCGGAAGAGTTCCAAATTCTCCCTTTTTCCCCTGAACTTCTTCCGCACACTGATGCGTCATATTTCATATACTCGTATCATTATCATCTATTATGCCACTCGTCACACCATGAACAGCCAAACAATCACATAATGCACTTTCACTACTGGGTTGGGGATGGGAATGTCGTTCTCTCCTCCTCTTCACTCATATCCCACGATAGGGGTGGAAGAAGGGTGTTCTGAGAAGGTATACTAATTTTATCGTGGGTTACGAACGCCTCAAGGTCACCGCGTTTAGTAAATTTTTGTAGTTTTTCATTTTCTTATATATTATATCAATATATTTTATTTTAAATTGTGTTGGTTGTTTTGTACACTTTAATCGTTAGCATGAAAGTTAAAATACGTTCATCACTGATAGAGATTAAATCCAAGTACAATGTAGGCTTCTATATCAATTTGAAATAAAACGAAACAAGTTAGTACTTATATGCAGTAAATCAATGACATGTCATTTGTCGTCAATGCGCTTTTTGTATAGCAGATTGGAAATGACCAAATTCTGCATGCCGTGATACTGAAACATTAATGAGGGTGGAAGAGAACATATGCAAGCAGCCAATTACATTCAAATTTCAAAGGAGAGTAAGAAAATAAAAAGCAGGCCTAAATGTTGTACGGGCCTCGTCAAAGAGAGCTTCAGTAATACTTTACATTGATATCGTTGAAAACGATTAGCAAATTAAAGGAATCTTGAAATACCTTAATGAAAATCTGGTAGGAATAAATAATTATAACAGCACAAAGAAAACCTAATAGAATGTCAAAAATATTTTATTAGTCTTAAATTGTAAATGTAAGCGAATGAGGTTTTCTTCTTGCTGTAATAACATGCTTATTTTTTGTAAAAGCTTATTCATTACAAAGTATCCAGAATATTTGTTGATGACAAGTTAGAAAATTTAATATTTGCCACAAGGGAGTTTTTTAATGTAAAATATATTTTGCGTTAATTCGAGAGCGAAAAACATTAATTAACAAAAAACTAAATAATCAAATAGTTTTTTAGAAATAGGAAAGTAAAAAGAGCACAACTCTAGGATTAAATATTCTTAACGATTGATTCGTTTTTTATTTCTTCGTTCTGCTAGTATTACACCAAATTTTCACGTCAATATTAAAGTGTCGAATTATCTGTAGTAAGAATATGTAATGTCAGTGTAGCCTTTCGTGATTATACGGTAAGGATTCATGCGTTGGTTCAGTTCAATTTTAATTAATTGATGACTGATTAATAGTTTCCTAATTAATTTATAATTAGTTTAGTATTAATTGATGAATTAAATTTAGAAACTTACATGACAGTTAACGCTTACCAATTTCAATAGATTTCATTTCAGTGAGGTGTTGTGAACTACCTTCAAGCGTGGGAAAACGTAGTGCAAAGTAGTTAAATGCTGTATAAAGGAGTGCTATCGTGTGTAATCGTAAGTTGTTACTATTAATAAATAATAATTAATAAAAAGACTACTATATTGATATTCTTAGTTTGCCACTGCGTTCGGGTCGAACTAAATTGCACTTAAATAGGATAGCTTATCTGTATTTTGCTAAGGGATCGAGAGGAGGATTACGGTCAGTCTCTACCTGGCATTGTGCTGGTCCTCGGTGACTCAGAGAAGAAGGAAGAACTGCCGGGTGACGGAGCAAAGCACCGCTTTGCCTGAAATCCGTGATGCAACGGTGAGAGCGGAACGTGCGCGCCGGCAGCTCGGCCATGCCCTCTGTGCGGGCACGGGGGCTGGGGCGGGG